TGTGTGTGTGTGTGTGTGTGTGTGTGTGTGTGTCTGTCTATGAGTATGTTTACGTGTCTGAGTGTCCATTTGGCATTCCCTCAGTGGTCAGAGAGAGTACCCTGGACTCCAAGATCTATATCCAGATGGTGGTCAGTGTGTATGTGTGTGTGTGTGTAGTGTATGTCTATCAGTGTGTTTGTCTCTGTGTGTGTGTGTGTGTGTGTGTGTGTGTGTGTACGTGTCTAAGTGTCCATCTGATGTCCCCACAGTGGTCAGAGAGAATACTGTGGACTCCAAGATCTACATCCAGATGGTGGTCAGTGTGAAGGGTGACCAAAGCCTTGCCGGAGGAAGTTACTGGCTGGGTGGGTCGGCGCAGCTTGGATTTGACACCATATGGGCTGGTCAGATACAGGTCGCTGTTGTCGCTTCTGATGCTGCCGCTGTGAGTTTTTTGTCGTTGTTGTTGTTGTTGCTGTTTCTGTTGGTGGTGGTCGTGGTGGTGGTGGTGATGATGTTCTTGTTGTTGTTGTTGACACCATATGGACTGGACAGATACAGGTCGCTGTGGTCGCTTCTGATGCTTCTGATGTGAGTTGTTGCTGTTGTTGTTGTTGTTGGTGGTGGTGGAGATGTTGTTGTTGTTGTTGGTGTTGGTGTTGCTATGATGGTGTTGTTGTTCTTGTTGTTCTTGTTGTTGTTGGTGGTGGTGGTAGTGTTGTTGGTGGTGGTGGGGTGGTGATGGTGATGATGTTGTTATCGTTGGTGGTGGTGATTTTTATCAAATTTTTGTTTTTTGACACAGCACATTTAAGGTCCATTTGAAAACAATTCTATGTGTGGATTTTATGGAAAAACGTTGAATAAAGGCACAAAAAATGTAGATCTAATTTGCAGTTTCCTGGGACTCTTAATCTATGGAAGTCACCAAACTTTGGTGGCCATTTTCTCTCTAATTTCCCTGGCGACCTCCTTCAATCCAAAATATGTGGACTTCTTTTTTAAAGATAAAAGGGTATTTTTTCATCGGAAGCAAGGCAAATGAACAAGCTTTAAGATGATACCAATAACTCCATATGCCCAAAATTTGACGAGTGCCTGATTCCACCGCGTCCTGACACATTTGAGCAGTCTGCTGACGTCATTTCCTCCCTCCCCAGACGACGAACCCT